CTTTCAAGCTTGATGGTAAAGAGATAAGAGAGATTAAATGAATGTCATTAGGGGAAAGCAGATGTGAGGAAGTCGTCTTTTAGAACAGGGAAAACTGAGCAGTTTTGCAGGCTGCAGGAAGGAAGGCGGTCGTGAAGAAGGGATTGAAGGTAGGAAAAATAAGAAGATAGGAACTGAATACTGACAACCACAAAGGGAGTAGGAAGGTCTTTGCTTCTTTTGTGTATATTATTATTCTTCATTAACATTTGCTTAAATAAATTCAGGTCTACTATTTATCACATTGCAGTATTAAATAAGTAATAGTCATAATATTTTTTGTAATTTTATATGCAAACCTTTATATTTATTTTGACATCTATAGTTAGGCAAAAATTGTCATTGAGGCTAATTTGTACAATTAATTAAATCATGTGTTCCTTTTCCTTTTCAAAACTTCCCTTATATATTCCATTCCTAGTGAGTATGATGAATCCTCTTAATTCAACCCATATACAACTAGTAGCTTTCAGTTAAAACTCTTACTTTTTCATAGACTCATAACTCTTATTCTAAAATGAACATTGGGTACTTCATTTGTCAGGTCTCTATCCCATCAAATTTTATTATTGTTTTGTTACTTACTTGCAAATTTTCCTTATATAATACATTCTATGTCTGTGGCCATATATGGTTTTCCTATACAGTTTCCAAGTTTTATGGTTTATTTAGTTCAAGTGAATAAACCCAGCTCTCTGTTTCACTTTTGTGGAGGTAGATAGGGTCAAGGAGAGCTGGTGGAACATTTACAGAGAGGAAAGATTACCAGTTAGGCTCGATGTTCCTAAGAAAACAACAGCTCTGATTCAGTGGTATTAAAAAATTTGGCAGTACTAAAAAATAACTAGATAGTTTTCCTACCAGTTACTCAGAAAGGGTTCATAATGTGTGAGGGAGAGGGGAGATACTGTGTTTGGAGTTTCAGAGACTGGACACTTATCCTGAGCTGAAAGCTTCTCACAGGGAGGGAGGCATTCTCAGCAAATGATGACTATTTCCTTCCTTTCCTCACTTCTCCCACCTCGAGGTCCTCACTGTTTTAGCTTCACTGCACTGATGCTCCCTCCTCAGCTGCACTGTTTTAGCTTCACTGCACTGACGCTCCCTCCTCAGCTGCACTGTTTTAGCTCCACTGCACTGATGCTCCCTCCTCAGCTGCACATAGGGGAGCAGTGCACAAAATCGGCTCTCCACAAGCAGCATGCTCAGGCTGAGGTGGACAGGGGCCTAACCTTACTGCCTCAGTTGAAATCCTCAGCCCCAGTGGCTGCCAGGGGAGGTGGGCGGAGCACAGGAAGTGATTACCCTCGGGCTTCTCCTCCCACAGAAGCCCTGCCTCCTCACGCTTGGACAGTGGGGAGGTTAGCTTTCTTTCTCCTTCTAGTTCAGTCCTTTGGCTAATGTGAGAGACCACGCAGAAACTATGGAGTTGCTTTTTGTGCTTGACAAAGTGCAGAGATAGAAGACAGGGATTCCCGGCTGGGAGGAGGGAGGAGAGCTGAAGACCCCGGCCTGGGCTGGCTGATCTAAGCAGTCAAAGTGGGAAGCTGAGTGCTTGAAAGAGGATTATACTCGCACTAGAAATAAGCAGTAAGTGAGCGAATAACCATTATGGCTTAGAAAAGACTTAATCCCCCTGGGTTATGGGGTGAGCTAGAAAATATTGCTTAACTCTAGAGTAAAACTGGAAGGCTTCTGACTCTGTGTACAGTTGTCTGCTGTTTGGAAAGTAGGGGCTTAAGAGCAAGCCCAGAGCCTCCCCCACTCTTGGAAAATGCCAACTTCTACTTAGCAATAGTTGGGGATATAATCTCATTCCCTAGCCTCTTCCTGGTAAAATTTAGTAATAAACCAGATAGGGAGTTGGGATTAAACTGGAAAAGTGGAATCTGGTATTGGCAGAAATGGCGATCTTGAATTACGTTCTGTGAATGCCGACATTGTTATATCTATTAGCAGTGATTTGCTAATCACAAGAAGGTCTGGGGCAGGACATTGAAAAGGGAGAATTGAAAGCTTTTATGACAGAGAAGCTGAGTAGTCCATATGCGTGAGATGAAATATAAAAATGTGTATAATAATAGATGGAGGGGTTTTTTGAGCATTAAACTAGAAAAGCAGTCAGGGAACATATACTTGGATATAAGCTAGAAAAGAAGAAATTTTAGTTTCAGTAATTTTTTGTGCAAACCCCAAATTTCACAATGTTTACAAAGTCAAGACAGTGATTCGGGGATACTTCGATTATTGTGGTACACTATAAATACTGCTGCTGGGCAAGATCTGTGGTTCTCTGGTCAGCAAGTTCTGGCAATGAAGCCACTGCCGCTGGTGCAAAGAATTCTGGGATGTCTGACAGTGATATGGATGGAAAGACCCACATTCCATCTCTACTTAATGTCCTTTTGTCCAGAAGTCGGGTCATGCACATGAGCTACTTGGTAAGTATACAGATCAATATTCAGAAAGGCATTTCTTAATGTTTTGCATTAGAGGGTCTCTGGACAATATCTTATGGCAACCAGTGTACTAAAGCAAAGTGGTAGGAAGGAAGTCCATCTTGATCAAAACCAACCTTGTTCTTTTTGTTTTCCATCAGTCCTGAAATGGAACCTCAAATGAGGACAAGAATAATAATAGAGAGAAATACTGTGGCCATCTGTTCTGTTCTAAGTGGTTAAACTCATTAATATATGAATGAGAATTCAGATTTTATTTATGCATCCTAGTACTTGAAGATTCAGAAAAATATCTTTATTACAGAAAAACAACCCACAAAAATAGGAGGTATGTTTATTGGAGAGGAAATATGGAAATCTGCTTTTGAAATGTTATAGGAGAAAAAACAGACAAGAATCGTTTCCCACAGTATAAAGAAGATTTATGTCATGTTCGCTGAAGGTTGTAATTCTTCCCCCAATGAGATGAGGATCCTAATATGACACAGTAGATACAAACATAAGAAATATTTTTAATTCCCTTAATTCTAGTTGATATAATTAATACCAAGAGCAAGAATTGCTTTTTTAAAAAATAATAACCTTGGATTACAGCTAATTATGTAGTGAATTTTCTTTTCTTTTTCTTACTGGTCCTCTATGAAGGTACTATGTTTCTGAAATTATGAAGAAGCAACTGTCATTCCAAATGATATTTCGTTTAACCATTGCACTGGGAGAAAGAAAAAGAAAAGACTCAGACGTATTATCTTTCTCCTGTAACACAACAGTAAAATGGTTGTAATGATCTATGTCCTTTTCTAACTTATGAAGTTATGAACTTTTGCTATGGGGAAGATAGATGGGGGAAAATGCCAATAAAATACATTTTTTAAAATGGTCCGTACCCTACCAACTTTTCAAACTACCTAATTTTGAAAATTATTTTACTTATCTTTTTAAAATTATTTCTGAGTTGTTTTGCCAATGTTAGTTTTCATCAGATTTATAAGCAAATACAGAAAATCTGAAGATTCGTTACCTGAGTGGTGTTATTCTTGCTTAGTCTTAAAAATATATAAAGGATTAAAATAAAACATTTAATAGTTGAAATCTTAAGCATAATATAATCACTAAATGCAGTTTCAATCTTTAAGAAAAATGTGCTGGGACTCTTTAAGGAGTTGCTTATTTATCTCAAATTATTAAAGAATCTTTTCTAAAAATATACAATTGAAGAAAGAAAGGAAGCATAACAATATTCAGAGAAGGATTAAAAGTATAATTTGGATGGGAGAGGCTAAGCAGAAGCCAGCAGTTTAATAAAGATATTTTCTGTTGTCCATGAGAGATTGGCATAAAGAATGATGTATTATGACAGTGAACAATGCTAAGAAAAGACTTTTATCTTTAAAAAGTATTAAGTGGGAATTAACATTATTAATGGAAAGAAACTAAATGATCATTTAAAATTATTCTTTCGCAAGAAAAGTAAAGAAAAAGGATATGGAAAACTAAGCAGTGATGAAGACCTGAAAATAATTGTTGATCAAAAGCAGGTAAGTGAATGCTTACATACATTTTCTAATGTTGCATTGTAGATTTTTGACAACTGAAGCCCTTTGAGCTTTCAGCCCTGCCCTGGAAGCTATATTAGCTTAGCTCATCTAACTGAGGCCTGCATAATAAGATAGATTTTGAAAGCAGCTAAGCCTCCTGTCTAACGCCTCTGATGCACTGACTTCTGCATGATGTCAACATGTATGTCCTGTATGTAAGAATGATGAAAAATAAAGCAGAGCAAGATAAGAGAATTTTTGGAAATTAAAAGCCCCACTTAAAAAATGAAATCAGTACAATGATAATTTGTTGGAAAAAAATATTTAAATAAGAACCAGAAAGTAAATTATTTTGAAAATGAGAAATGCTACTATTAGTGTAAGACAATAAATATAAGTTAAGAGGACAGGGATATAAGACTTTAAAAAACTGAGAAGTTTAAACATAGTGCCCAATTTACTTCCTCAGATTGTCTGCAGTAAATTTAGACACTTTTTTTTAAAAACAAACAAAAAAAAGAAGATATTTAATATTCTTTAATACTGCTTGTGATTTGAGAAACATCTAGCTTATATTTCATATGGGCCCATAAGGTGAAATGAAAACTGCTTAATATACCATAAACAATGACAGGTAATGGAAGGTATCCAACTCGTGTCACTGAATTGGCATTAGCCCTTAACGTCTTTGTTAATTATCAGGGAGACAAGATAACTGCACATCTATTTCATGTGTAAGTGGCTCTGATTCTGTTGTAAGCTCAGGTGGAGACAGAGAAATAATTCAAAGGAATCTGAGCAGATGAAGAAGTTAGAAAGAAGGCAGTCAGCAAGTTACAGAAAGCCGAGTTGAATTTAGACAGTTTCCTAATCAATCATGCAGTCTGTTTTGCATCGTGGTAATTGCATTAAAGGAGCCATTGTGTCTATTTCTGAAGAAAGGAAAAATGACCATCAGAAGATAGCAACCAGAAACAATTAACTTACCAACTGGCTTATTAGGCCTGGAATAATTAAAGTAACTGAAGTGGTCTTCTGGGGAAAACTGAACAAAGCATCTCCCCAGGAGGTGCAGAGTATGTCCATACTACAGGGTTCACTCAAACTACCTTCAAGTTTTTCTTGCCTTATCTTCACTCTCCTCCTGCTCCTGAGTAAACCAGGGTGGAAGAGTGTTGGATATGGCCCTGTGTTTCTACTCAGCGCCAAATTGTCAGTTCGGTTAATAAGATAAGTGGGACTGGAGCCTGAGTGCTCTGCTGGGCTATTAGCTATCATTTTAACTATGCCAGATTAATTACTTGGGGTGTGTGATCTCCATCTCCCATAGATCCTGTGCTGTAGACTAGCATTCTGATGAAAGGACTGGACCTCCCTGGCAAATGAACTAGTAAAATACAATTGAGTATATTATGAGAACATATATACCTATAAATTTCTCTATTAAAATTAAAAGTTTTACTTTTTATTTCTTCTTTAATCATGTAGAAGTTAAATTCCTACTGTTTTTGTACTTCTTTACTATCATTCTATCCCCAAAGCTGCTTTTGTTTTCTTTCTTTCTTTTCTTTAGTTTTTCCTAAAGCTTCTTTCTGTTTTAAGTGAATTTGGGGATTCAGAAAAGGGAGTCATTGTTCTTTTATTCTCGTGGCACTTTTCACAAAATTTATATTGTTGTTCCTAAACACATTTTATTAACTGTTTAGCAATCTTTTGAAAAAGAGAATGCACTTTCCTGCTTCTTCAGAAAATAACACTTTTCTTGCCTGGATCAAATGAGGGAGGATTCAGTTTCTCAGTCACTGTTGTCTCTGTAGTTATCATGTTTCCTCCGGTGCCGTTGGACCAGTTGGCACCAGTTGGCAGTGACCCAGCTTTGCTGAGTCATTCATGTCAAAACATGTCTCAAAAGATGAGTAATTATGAATATGAGTTGGCTTTGGTGTTTGCTGTTGGCAGTAAGAGTAGTCCTTCCTTTTGGGGAAGGTTTATTTGGTGTTGATGTAATGAACAAATCCTAGGTAGAAACAATGACAGCGTTGACATCTCAAAGAAAAATATTTGGGAAAACACTCTAATTAGTCTTTATAACACTACAAAAAAATTCTTCCTAAGTTTAAGAGATCAACTTTAAAAGTGTATGTGTGTTTATGTGTGGATGTGGTAAAACACTTTTTTCTAATAGTGCTTCATCTCACAGTTGTTATATATATTTTGGCAGGGGGGAAGGAATCTTTATGTTCAATTTAGTCTTCCTGTGTCTTTTCAGAAACATGGTAGAAATTTGTTAGTCAATCTTCATATAATTGCAAAAAGCTTTAAATAAAATAGTTGGAGTGCTGTGAAGGGCAGAAGTCTACTAAGCTCATTTAATCTGTCATTCAGAAGCTGTTGCTCTACAAATGCTGTGCAAGCTATATGCCGTTTTATCAGTCCTGTGATTTGCCAGTCTTGTACTTCCACAGAAAGCCCACAATTTTGCTTATGTAAGCAAATTAATAGCAGAAGCAGCCCAGAGTATGAGGATTTTGTTCACTCTGGCTGCCCACATTCAAGGGGGTAAAAGGTGATTTCTGTGTTATTTCTACATAAGAAAAAGTAATTTTGGAAATGTGTAAGGTTTTCTTCTAAAAGGCAATATTGTGCTTCTCTTTTTGTGAAATTTGAGTGGCAAGATTTATTTGAGATACACATGAAAACATTCCAGAGAATTCTTAGATTAGTGTTGATGTCCTAAAGTAATAGGAGCTGCCATATAATATGTAATCACACACCCACACACTTCTATAGCCATTTAAATATAAATGTATCACATTGGCATTGAAGTCCATATTCTCCAAAAATCCCTAGAGTTTTCAAATTTCAAGCATAGGAAAGTAATCAAAGGAAGCATTAGATAAAAATCTTTATACCTCTAAAACCCAGACATTTGATATAAATATATACAGATATTTCATTATGTGTATAATTATATAACATATATAATAGACATATATACAGTTATTATATACATATAATTATAATAAAATATATAAAATTAGTTCTATATTTGGCTTTCTAGAATAAATACATATTTAAAAGAAATTTTAAATATGGATTTTGGATTATTCTTATTATTTATTAAAATATTCTTTCCTGACTGGAAGGGGGTGCGTCTTGTTTAGGAATAGATTTCATGTACAAATGAATTTTCTTTGAAGTTGCTGAGATATCAGGGGTGGGAGTGGGGGAGTAGATGGTCAAGTACCTTGAGTAAGTGATTAAAAACATTAGCCACTTTGAATAAATTATAAATTAATTCTATTTTAAATTACTATTTTTAATTAGAATAGAGTCAGTTTAACTCAAGGTTTGTGATATGTTCACCAAGATAGCTTTTTTTCTAAAATATTTTCAAATTCCAAGCAGACTTAAAGGAGGTAACCAAGGCTGACACAAAATTATAGAATATTATCACTATAAAGGGGATACACTTGTAGGTTCAAGCATTTTTCAAAATAGTTTTCACAGTATGTCATAGATTTAGTTGACTGTAGGACTCAGAGTTGCAGCTGCATATCTTTCAGTGCAATAAGGTGGGGAAATGTCAAATGTCAACCCATGACAAAGGGAACAAGTGTATATGGACCAGAACCATGGTTCTCAAGTTTTAGCAGCCTCAGAATCCTCTAGAGGGCTTCTCAGAACACAGATTGATGGGCCCCACCCACCCCCCAGAGTTTCTGATTCTGCAGGTCGAGAGGTAGGGCCCAAGAATTTGGATTTCTAAGTCCTCAGTTCCCACTGCTGGTCCCAGACCATACTTTGAGAATGGCTGGGTCAAAGGAAATAACTCTTGCAGTTCTAAAGAGAAAAAGCATACGTATGACCTGTGATAAATTTGACATTCTTCAACTGGGCATTACCTCGAAACCTAAAAACTAGAATTCATAGACATCCAGTATAATGATGCTGAAAACAAGAAAATCACGGACATTTACAACTAAAGGTGCCTTAAAGACCCAGGTTTGCATCTGACTGAATTCCACTTAGTAGCCTTGTGTTCTTGTGGTAGTCTTGTGAGTTGAGGTGTTTCCTTATTTGTAAAATACTACTCTTCTCTTCCCAGCTCTTAGAGTTTCTCTAAGAAGATGAATTTATAACCATTATGTCATTTTAAGTAGCTAGTCATCACCACTTATTAGTCTGCTTGGCCTGCCATACAAAATATCATAGACTGGGTGGCTTAAACAACACAGATTTCTTTCTCACAGCTCTGGCGGCTAGAAAGTCCAAGATAAACAGGCTGGCATGGTTGGTTTCTGACGAAGGCTCTCTTCCTGACCTGTAGATAACCAACTTCTCACTTTATCCTCACATCCTCATATGGCAGAGAGAGAAAGAGAGAGAGAGAGAGCGAGCTCTGGTGTGTCTTCCTCTTTTTAGGGCCCCATTCTTGAGGCATCATTTAACCATTATCACCTCCTTGCAGGCCTGTCTCCAAATACAGACACATTAAGGGTTAGGGCTTCAACATATGAATTTGGAGGGGACACAAACATTCAGTCCATAACACTACCACACAACCCCAATTCAGCAGACAGGAACATTGAGATCTAGAAAGGTGAATTGAGTTTCCCCCGAGTCCCTGCTTAGGTACACAGAGAGGACTGGAAGCCAGCCTTCCCTCCCAATGTGCAAGCCAGTACACCATCTATCATCCTATATAGCTCTCTGCGGTCGCCCATTACTGGTCATCCCATAGGTGGGCATTAAGAAGCTGTTTTGCTTCAGTACTCTAATTATATAAAATAACCGTCTACTAGGAAGTATCATAATTGGCCAGTATTTATTTATTGAACCCTCACAGGGATAATCTTTTCCACAAACACTCCTTAACAGTTTACTTCCCTCTTGGCCCCTATAGCTTATTAGGAGAGAAAAGTCCTTCAAAACAAATGTGCACAAAATTAGAGCTGAAGGGTGGTTGTTGCCATCCACTCACCCTTCCCGTCCCTACACAGCCTCCTCCAAGAGGGCCTTGACCAGACGTGAGAAGTACCATGGGGAGAGACAGCACATACCTTTCTTAGCCCAAAACCCTTGTGAGAGTCTCCTTTTAAATTTGTAGGAGAAGCCCGAGCAGAAAGCAATGGAAACTAGAATTTCTGTGATTTTTCTCTAAAGAAAAAGAAGAGACAAAGTATCGCCACCCCCTTGTGTTTCCAGTAGCACATAAGCATTTGAGTAGGATTGTAATTTTATCCTAGTGGTCATTGTGGGAATGCATCCTAAAGAGGAAAATATAGGCCAACGTAAAAGAAAAATGGAAGAATGAGAAAAACAGATTAACAGGAAAAGATACTGAGCTTCCTTCTGCTGCCAGTTAGTGTGGTCATACCACCATCTAAGCAGCTGACCTGATTCTCGGACTCATAAATAGTAAAAGGAATGGGGGTGATATGTATCACTGCCTTGTTGTACTCAGCACCATCTGGCCAGTGCTTTTTTTTGCCATATCAATATGGTGACTTAATTTAAATATAAGTCATATCCCATTTACCTCTGAGAAAGCTTATAAAGCATGAGACCCTGTCTCTTGGCATCATGTATAACACTCTCCCTGGGTACCTTCTTGGAACCCCATGTTGGTCACCAAGAACAGAAACCCCCTTTAGACTTGCAGAAAAGAAACAAGCTGGGCAGCCTGGAGATTCTGAAGCAGGATACTGTGAGACTCTGGAAGGACCAAACACATTATGCCGTTGTGGTTGCCCCCATTATGCTCACAGCAGACATAGGCTCATTAGCATTTTCCTCGGAAAGAGTGATAGATGAGAAATGGTTCAATGAAAATAAGCCATATTTAGGTGTGATGAGAGAGGCCAATGCTTTTCAAATTTGCTATCTATCTGAAATCAGCATTGGAGTAAACAGAGATTCACTACTGTAGTCCAATCAGTGCCATCTTGTCAGCAAAGCTATTTATCATCAATAAATGTACAAGGCAAGGGGAAAGTTTTGCACAAGGTTAAATAGAAAAATTACTGGGATAAAGGCATTTTTACCCATCTTTTATTCCTAAATATTACCTATTTGTGTCAAGTAATATAAAAATAGTTCTGAGTTACTGGTAATTGAGAAGGGGGTGAGGGGTGGAAATCACAGTAATGCAAAATATCTTACTTTATTTTTCCTTGTAAACTCACAATGCTGAGAGGTTTTTTTGGTTTTTTGAATTGATGCATTTCAATTTAGTACACTGATACCCCTAGGCATCACCTCTGACTCCAGGAAAAACAGAAAGGGCAGACCTAATATCTTAATTTCAGAGTCTTCTGACACATTACTGAGATCTGAAGATAGAAGGCAAAAAAATGTAGAGAGTCGCTCTTTATAGAGTGACACAGGGGCAGGCAGGAGACACCTGAAATGAATGAAGTAGGAGGCCATCGTCCTAGTTTCTAGTCTTGGCTATGCCGCTTACTAAGCGGAAGACCTTGGAGTGAGCAATTTAAGTTCTCTGAGTTTCTGTTTCTTCATCTGTGAAGTGGAATAATACCATCTGGCTCAGATGTCTGTTGTGAGGTTCAAATGGGGATGCGCCTCTGAAGAGCCTTGTGTCCAGCTCAGCCTCCTTTGGTCAGAACCAAGTCTAGAATCCGGGACCACTGCTATTTTGTCTCATGCTCTTTCCGTCAGCAGCTCACACTTCCTGAACGTTGAGTTGGTTGTTGCGTCGCATTTTCACTTTGCTTATTCCCACTGTTTTCCTAGTAAGCAGTTTGCATGCCTTCTGTAAGATACTGTCAGTTACTCTAGTCTGGTGCCCTTTCGGGGCTCCTGGCTCCTCTGCCACTGCTCGTGTTGGCCATCGCGAATATAGCAAAGTTGTTACACAGTGGTTAAGAGGGAGGCTTTCACAGTCAGGAATCTGAATGAAAACTGGCTACAGCCATGTAGTAGCTATATTACCTTGGGAAAATTAAGCAGCCTCTCTGAGCCTCAGGCTGCTCTGCTATAAAATGAGGAAAATTCTATCTACTTCATAAAGTAGTTGTTAGGATAAATAAGTTGCTGTAAACAAAGGCTTAGCAAAGTTCATGGCATGAAATAAGTGCTTTATACATGTCAGGTACTGGGGTGGGTGAGTGGTGGGAGTTGATGGTAAAAGCCTTAGATTTAGTAGGTATAGAATCCCCTTGGATTTCTTCAGGACTGAGTTATAATTCTAAACAATAAAGTCTATTCTGAGGTCATAGATACAAATGTCTCCTTGGATATCCACAACCAAGTACAGAAATGAGGGGAACAGACTGTGTGTAAGAAAAATAGGGAGTGAGGAGGACAGTGGCTATTGTCACAAGCTGGCCCCTCTAGAAGCAGCAGCACCTACCAGCCCCAGCTGATTGCCATCTTGTTGAAAAATGGGCTCAGGATCACCACATATACTAATTTTTCAAGAGAAGCAATTAATCTGCTGCTTTTTAAATGTTTACAACCAGTTTTTAAATTTTATAGCAATGTGTAGTCAAACAAAATAGTGTGGTTCTGTATACAGCCCTGAGGTTCCAGTTTGTGACCTGTTACGCTCATGAGACTCTAAGATCAAAGGAGAGTAGGATGCCGACATGGGCCCAAGTGGGCCTCTACTCTCCCCGTTTCTCTCCTGCTTTACATCCTCTCCCTTGAAAACTAACCTAACCTGGTTGTCGATCTGATTAAAACAATAGACATTAAGATATAATTGTCAGGGCTTCCCTGGTGGCACAGTCGTTAAGAATCCACCTGCCAATGCAGGAGACATGGGTTCGAGCCCTGGTCCGGGAATATCCCACATGCTGCGGAGCAACTAAGCCCATGAGCCACAACTACTGAAGCCCACGCACCTAGAGCCCATGCTCCGAAACAAGAGAAGCCACCGCAATGAGAAGCCCACGCACCGCAACAGAGTAGCCCCCGCTCACCACAACTAGAGAAAGCCCGCGTGCAGCAACGAAGACCCAACACAGCCAAAAATAAATAACTTAAATAAATAAATAAATAAATAGATATAATTGTCAGATGGTCTTCATTCCCCCGGAGGTTCAAGTACCTCAAAAGGGAACTTGTTACCTAAAATGTAAAAAATCCCCATTTGATAAAATGAGTAGGTCAGATATTTGTAAGTGGAGAAAGTATTGCTGATAGTTCCTATTCAGGACTTTTACTACCTCCTAGTCTTACCAACTTAGCAACTCAGAGAGTAAACAAGGTACCCGCCTTGCAGAGTAGCAAGTACCCAGCTTTCCTCCACCAGCCCTCTTCCCCAATTTTGCAAACAGTAATGCAATCCACAGGGCTCAGTGAAAAACTGTAACCACTGAAAAAGAGAGACCATGAGTTACCACTTCAAGTTCAACAAATATCTTAAATGCCATTATATGTCTTTATTTCAAGATATTAATGTACAGCCTATGTTCATTAGATGCAGCATAAAAAACTGGACTTTCAGACTGGAAAAATATATAGATGTAAGTAATTTTCAAATAGCCCATTTTTTTTAATCTACTGGGGAAAAGTGCTGGCAGCATGTTTAGTCACTGAGAAAAATAAATGCAAAATTGAAATGACGTGAGCTGACATGCTGAATGTAAAAATGATGTGATATATGAAAATAACAGGCCGGGACAGTAATGCTTAAACTCAGCCATTTGGAACACAACTTGAAAATAAGCCATTCACCCTTTCGCTGTGGAAGGTTTGTTGTGCTTTTACTGGTTTTGTGTTTGGGGAATTTGTTTTGTTTTGTTGGTGCTGGTGTTGTTTTAAGTAGATTCATCTGGTCAGTCTGAGAACTGTAGACATTAGAGCTGGAAGGAATTTCAGAAGATAATCTAATCCAGTGGTTTTAAAACTGTGCTCCGTGGACCCCGTTCCCAGCCACTTTGAACAGAGGAGGGGGTTCATGCGCGTGGCGTCACCCCTTAGAGAGTAAGTTGGCCCCAGGTGCGCAGACAAGCTTTGGGTGATGAAAGGGCACTGCTGCTAAGAAGTTTGATTATATTGGTTCTACTTCAACCAGAATAAGTTGAGTCTTAGATAGGGAAGTAGCTTGACTGTGTCACTAGGTTATCTTATGTCACAGGGACTATTAGAATTCGGGTCTGCAGGCTCTCGTCCTGGCTTCATTCATCTATCCCTATAACTGCCTTCCTAAATTCAACTTCTCCTTAGCCTTTCTTCCAGACTCCCTCATGCTGGTAAGCTAGGCATACCAGTCAATCCAGAGAAATCACTTGAGAGGAGTGTGTCTTTCAAGTGCACAGCTAACTCTATTAAATTTGTCTGATAAGCTTTTATGAAAGGATGTTTATATGAGATGCTTCCTACTTCATAACGAGGTTCTCACAAACTTTGTGACAACTTCCCAGTTTTAAAAGTGGAATTTGAATCTCCTAAGATGCCCCTAATGAGCTTAGCAGAGTGTTTCCTCCACATTGAAGCAGAGGGTTTTTCCACAGCGCATCTCCCAGGTCTTCTGCACCTGGATCAACTTATCATCTCCCTTTCAATTGGCCTTGGGGATTGTGAGCCCGGCCCACAGTTCAGCATCTAGCTGCCTAGTCGGTCCATTCTGAACGGGTTGCCAGCGCTTTGTCTAATGAACCTTGCCTGTGACTCACTGGTTACTGATTCCATCAGTGTCTGTTGTCATAAGGGCTTCGAAAAACAGTTGTGGGTGGAAATATTTATACTGAAAAGATTTATGTTACAAATTCAAAATCTGATAAATAAAAATGACTAAGGAACAGAAAGACTGTACAATTTTTTTTGTTGTTGGTTTTTTTTTTTTTGATACTTAAACAGCAGAGAGAGTTTAGAGAGTAGACTTCCCTTCCTCTCTTCTGACTTTGGACCTAGATGCCTGTGCTCTGCCATTGCCCTGACCTTGTCACTTCTGTGGTTGTGCTTTTATTTCTCTCCCATCCAGACTTTGCAGTACATGTCTTTTCCTTTCTGCTCAGCCCCACTCTCTGATCCCCGCCTTTGGAATGTGTCTCTTATTCTGGCACTGCATCTATAAGGTTTGACAGAAACACAGTTCTTGCAAACCTGCTTTTTTTTTTTTTAATGCTCCATTGCTTCCTTCTCTTTCTTCAAAACAACTCTATAATTCTGTCATTTCCATTTTTAGTCATTAATTTTTCACATGGTCTACCCCCAGACAGGGTGAGTACCACTTCCTATCTTGTGATCTACGAAAAACACATGCACACACAAATCTTCATTCAATACAATTATTTATTCCTCATCATAGTATTTTTTGGCCAAATGATCTCATTCTTGAAATATATGAATAAGTGACTTATTAAAGAAGTGGTGAGAGAATGTACCATCTCGGCTTTGTGCTAGAGGTTCTGAATAGAAAGAAATGTTCATTCATCACTCTTTTCTAACTAAATTATCTCATTTGTATAATTAATGAATAATTAATGAATTCTTGTAGAAAAACACTAAGCATGGAAGTAGTTTTCTTCCAGTCAAAGGTTGTCCAGTTATCACTTCCTTACACTCTCAGCTTTTATCTTTAAACTTTAAATGTGTCCCCAAAATTGACCCATTAATTTCTGTGAACTATGGGAATAGCTTCTGACAAAGAAATGAGTGATGGTGCATCAGCTGATGGATTTTTTAAATCAAGTTGTTTAGTACAGAATAAAACAAATTGAAGCTCACAAACATGCTTAGTTATTCTTAAACTTTTAAGCTAAAGATATAAAACCTTAGGAACTCTGCATTTTAAAAAAAATGGAAGAAATTTGTCTTTCACTAAATGAATGAGCAATCTTACCCTTTCATCCAGACTCCAAGGAACTTGATTTAAAATCCTTCCATTGTGGTTTTATGAACCACAGTAGTCGTACAAGACATGCATGGACCCCAACACTGCTTGGGTTACAGGTGACAGACACTCAAGACACAGAGAGAAGTGATGCTTCTCGCTGCCTCCCACATATTACACAGACTCCTCAGTTGGGCTTGGGTTACAGGTGACAGACCCTCAAGACACAGAGAGAAGTGATGCTTCTCGCTGCCTCCCACATATTACACAGACTCCTCAGTTGGGCTTGCAGGCCAGGGATGGTCCAGTCCCTGACTACCCTGTTATCCTTCTCCATGCCCCATTCATACTGAACAACTTGAAGCACCCCAAGTGTGTAACATTCTTCCTCCCTTTTTGCCTTTGTCCTGTGCATGTATATACATATATGATACACATCACAAAATCTTCTGATATATCCCCTAAGACTGGAAGGATATAGATGGAGGGAAGGAGCCCTTCTCATGGTTCTGCAAGAGACTTTCGCCTTTGAGAATCCAAATGCTAGGAGAGGAGAAAGAGAATGAACAAACCCCTCTTGGCTCTGCAGACAGACTTCCTAAACCCCATAGATGTGGGGCCAGGGGGAGTGAGAAGTGTAAAAAAGAAAACAAAAGGATCCTAAAAAGGATAAGGAGCAAATGGGAAAACAGAAAATCTGAGAACCTATTGTTCATAGAAGTTTGGGATGTAAACAGTTTTGCTATGTGTCTTCTGGGGTTTGGTTGTGGGGGAAATATTTAGTTACATTTAGCACGTTTACACATTTTGTTGTTCTAAAAAAAAACTGGTACTTGATTCTGCCCTGTTCCCAAGACACTTCCTCTCATGTGATACAGGAGGGGGAGCAGTGGAGAACCCAGCAGAACCAGGTCAGGGATGCTGGCAACAGTTAGCTGTCAGTATTCAGGAGGGACAACCAAGCAGGGAATCATATGTTTAAAAACTGGTTCTAAGATAGACTACGTGAGCAAAATTAAATTGTCTTCCTCTTAATTATGAGGTAACTTAACTTCCAAAGATACATGGGATGCTGCTTTTGAAAAAAAAATAGCATTATTTTGATGGAAATGATCTAACTTCCTACTTCATTCATTTACTTTACAAAAACTTCTTAACAGCCTATTTCTCACAAGGTATTTGCCAGGTGCTGGGACACAGAAATGACATAAACATAGGCATGGCCTTTAAGAAGCCAACAGTACAGCTTGGGGCTTCGTTCAATAGGCAGTTATGGTGCAGGTGCTGCAGCAGATTTGGGACTGAGGACTTCAGGAAGTACTTAGGACCCTCAGGCCTCTAAGATGTGTATCATTTCCCTAGTCATGGTCCTGAAAGAATTAGAGTCTTCCTAGTGTTCAGTGTATTCCCAAGACAAGACATGGTTTTGGGGAACAATGACCAAGTATGTTTTTTAGAGCCTAGATGTTCAAAGAGAGGTCCATGGACCAGCAGCATCAGCATCACCTGCATTTTGTTAGAAATTCATACTCTGAATCCCAGACTGAATCAGAGTCTGTAAGTTTGGGGCCCAGGAATTAGTTTCAACGAGCTTCCAGGGAATTCCAATCCTCACTGTGGCTTGAGGAGCACTGTTTTAGATTTTTCAAATTTGGGGTGTCAAGAAAAGATCAGTTATTATTTTGGTAAAGATGTTAAACTTTTATTTCCAAGGACTACAAAAGAAAAGGAGTTAAGACAAATTAAGCATCTTAAGTCCTTAATTTCACTGTTCCTAACCTTGCAAATATTCCCTCCCAGTTTCATTCATTAAAGTGAACCTACACAGTAATCAATCCTGTGACCCAGGTTGTTTCCTAAAGAAAGTACAGATGATGGAGACTAAGAGGTAAAACTTATTAAGGTTATCTTTGTCTTAAGCCCTTCTAATCTTAAACCACTTTTATTAAAAGGTTAATAACAACACACAATTATATAGCATTTACTATATGCTACATCCTGTTCTAAACACTTTATATATGTTAACTCATTTAATCCTCCCAATAAATCTATGATGTAGGTACCATCATCCCCATTTCACAATGCACACTAAGGCATAGGGAATTTTATGCCAGGCTGCTGCATTGCACAGCCCCAAGGAGATGTGCTGTGCCCGCAGTCTGTGTGGCTATGCACGACTGCTCTGGGTCGAAAGAGTTCACAGCTAGGAAGTTATCCTTTCCTCATGCTTCCCTGACTTATCAAGGAGATCTGTTATTATCTTGACTGTGCTAGGACTGTAATAGGGTAAAATCTGAGAAAGGCTTTCTGTTTGTAAGGGAAAGATATATAGGATAGGGAAAAGCATAAATCAATTAAGATGGGCAAATTGGAAAAGAAGTATTCTCCCTTCAAAAGACAATATTCGTGTGTGTGTGTGTGTGTGTGTGTGTGTAAAAGAAAGAGAGAAAGAGTGAGAGAGGAATAGAGAATGTGTGGATACATAGTCATAAACACACATGCCCAGAAGCAAATCTATGAAAAAGGGCCATTGCCCAGTCCTTGGATAAATGCCCACCTCTGAGGCCATTGGGACCCTGCACTGTACTGAATGGTAGGACCAGGTAACCAGGCAGCCTTGCAAGGGAACCAGTAAAAGGCAGGTACTGCATTAGGGTTGCTACTCGGGTTCGAGTCCTCCCATCTGAGGTGCTTCTCATGATAAGTTAAATCCTTACCTTGCACCTAGAATTTTCTCTGTGCTCACTACATTTGAAAAATTCCATGCCTGGAACAAAAAAGAAAGCGCATCGCTTCAGCATTTGTTGAGTAGCTTTCCGTTACTGGAGTAGATTGCTGTGCTCTGGAAATGTCTTTCCGCCAGCTGCCCCACAGGGACTGACCTTTCTACTCAGGCTAAAGTCCCTGCTGAACTATTCAGTACAGCTAGTTTATCCCGGGTTGTTGGCAGATCTCCAGTTTCCCTGCCTGCCCATCTAGAAAAGTGGTCTGAGAATTGATATTCTGCCACCCCCTTCAGTCTTTCACTGGCCACAACTCTGCCCCTCCAAGCTCCTGGTGATTCCTGCAGCCTCCCAAAAGCAGCACCCAGCCTTTCTCCAGGAGCCTTACCTGTTGGTGCTGGAGAGCTGACAGTCACCCTTGGGGTCCCTTCTCACTGGTTACTCTGCTTATGAGTATACAAAACCCTCCTCAGAAACTTTGAACAAGATCAGAAGTATAACCCGTGTTTCCAAGGACTCTTCATTTTACATAGTCCCTCATTTTTGCATAGTCACAAGCATAATTTAAATTTTTGCATAGTTGCAGTTAGTATGCATTCAGTTTTGTATCTCCCTCTTTATGTAACACTATGCCAGACTCATTTTTTCCACATCACTATTTAATTTTTATAAATGTGATTTTAATGGTTGCCTTATATAGAATCAAGGTGAGCCTTAGGCATTTTTTTGCCCCACAACTTTCCCTGGCTTGTGCAGTGACCATCCAGATCTTTCCCTTCTTCTTTCAGGATGCAAGTTATCAAATTAAAAAGGAAAGGAAGGGATTGCAAGAAAATTGTGTACATTGCTATAATTAGACATATACTGATTTACCGTGAATTATGCATATTTATGGGAATTTGCACATTGTCATCCTTTCATATCCCTCTGCACCTTTAAATATCAGTGGAGATGCCACCACACACGTTGCACTGCTTTTGTAAAACCTCAAGTTTAAATCACATCCTACACTGCAGTTATACATGATTCTGCTTCCTGAGGCTGACCACAGCCGAATCACAAACATGGATTTGCATAAATTTGGTTTGCATGAATTTTTAAGTTTGCTGAGAAGGGAAATTGACTAAATATTGTTAGAGCCACAAATAACTTGGGATATAATTTACTCTGGTACCACATGCATTGAGGACACAGATGTATGGACCCACTAGGATAGTCCAATGCCAAAAAGATACACAGACTTAAAGACCTATATTGAAGTCTAAACAACTTATATGAACAGGGTAATAGACTTAAGTCCTATGACTTCCTCATATTGAAAGGCAATGACAAAAAAAAATAATTGTGAATGCATTTTAGAATATGTAGTCTTTTGTAAGTATTCTACACTTTAGAATTGTTGCTCGGGTCCCAAAATGCAAAACTCTTACATTAATGCAGATCCAAGGAGTACAGGAAGTTAGTATAACAGAACCAAAATACAAGTCAGGATGCTAGGATTCAAGTTTCTGGCTTTGTCAATGGCTTTTTCTTTGACCTTGAACAAATCTCTAAGCCTTGACGTCCCTATCAGCAAAGTGATAATATTTTCCCAACTTCTATCTCATAAGAATTCCTGAAGAATTTCTTAAAGAAAACTAAAAAAAAGAAAAAAAAATCATCTGAGCCACTCAAGAGGATTACTTCCTGTGAATAAATCCAAAATGGTATCATCTTCAAGGAAGCCACTTACTAAGGCCCTGGGGTTATGGATCAATCTCTTGTGTTAAAGAGCAATTTAAAAATGATATCCCCTGTAGAAAATTGAACACATGCATAACTATTACTTTTAGATCAGTAAAACGTAGGAAGGAAGGCAAAGTGTAGCTTAATTTTATTAATTTACAAGTGATATAATTACATTGCATTTCTTTTTGAATGATTCTTTTGATAAATTTCTTTCTAATCATAGTGAGAGGATAAGTGGATGTTTTCATATTTATGTTTTTCAGCTGTCTTGAAAAGATGACATAAATAGATAGTTCTAGAGAAATAACATTAGTTATACTGATTCTATTTTTTTAAATGAGCAAATTTTTTTTTCCTGGAAAAGCGAAACTTATTCTGGGGCTTCTAAACTTTATTTAGTAGTCAAGAAATTGCACATTCCAAGTAAAAACAATATATCTGCCCCCCAAAAAACTAGAAGAAGTCCTCCTAGATGAATCTGTTAACACCTGAGCCTTCTTTAAAATAAAAATAAAAAACATGCAGAGTTTATAGTGAGTCTTTAGCTGAAAAGTCACATCATATCTCTCAAAACACAGAAAAACCAAGTTAGCTTCAGCAAAGTGCCAAAGAACTTCCTCTCCTGAAGTAAGCTGGCATTTAGAACTGCTCTGTAAAGCTTTGAAGGGGATCAGGCTCTCTATCAATAAAGCATCTATGGAACAATTATTTCAGGGTACCCTGGTGTGAAAGCATCTATGGAACAATTATTTCAGGGTACCCTGGTGTGAAAGAGTTTTTATTATTCTTCCTTATTTAGAAATCTGCTTCTGACATCACAGGGGAGGCCCATGATGAGCTTCCTCAGAACTTCCAGCCTATCAGGAAGAAAAAAAAAATAATCCGAAAAACATATATAAAGTTTAAAGCTCATGGTGAGGCCAGATTTGGGGACAGGGTGGAGAAAAATTTAGTTAAGTCAGCTTGTGCAGAGGTCATTTTTTAATTTATTTATTTATTTATTTTTGCGATACGCGGGCCTCTCACTGCTGTGGCGTCTCCCGTTGCGGAGCGCAGGCTCCGGACGCGCAGGCTCAGCAGCCATGGTTCATGAGCCCAGCCGCTCCGCGGCATGTGGGATCTTCCCGGACCGGGGCACGAACCCATGTCCCCTGCATCGGCAGGCGGACTGTCAACCACTGCACCACCAGGGAAGCCCCAGAGGTCATTTAAAACACATGCATAAGCATTGTGGATGAGATTAGTGGAGTTGGGTGGATCACACTTTATACCCCAACTGTCCAATTTAGTTTCATTATGACAGGAGTGGGGAAGGGGTGGGAATAAAAGGGAATTAACGTTGTTGAGCATCTATCGATACTATGTGCCAGACAACAATCTGAGAGATATTATTATTATGCCAATTTTTAAGAATGGGGAAAAAACCCCAAGGCTGAGAAGGGTTGAGAAACT